TAGAAACACAAAATGCATGTGTTTTTTCATCTTGTCCCAGAATGTGATCTTGCTTTTCCCTTGTAGAGTCCTTGTTTTTTTTTTTACTATTGCCACTAAGCCCATGCCCGACCTCTTAGCCTTATTGTAACCAGTGTTACCTGTCTGTCTTTTGAAACCTGTTTAAACTCTAAAACTTCATCTACTGTATTGATCCAGTCAAGGTACTCATCCGCTTGCAAACCACCATGGAACTTTGGTGTTCGACCTTGAGGCCTGACTCCCAGCACCTCAATTCATCACTCGACTGTCTCATCTATGCTAGTTAAGGGGTGAATGGATTTTTATCACCTTCGGACTCCTTTTCCACATCTTGGGAATTCAAATCCTGATGGTGAACCATCGATGCTGCCAACTACTGTGTTAATGTCTTGACTTGCTATTGTAGTCGTGCAATCTTATTATGCTCGTAGACTTCATCCAACAATTGTTTATGAAGGTTTAGTAGGTTTGTGCGTCTCTTTAGTGCTATAACGACGATAACTGACTGAGATCTGATACCAACTTGATGCAGACCAGAATGGAATTCACACGCGTTCTAACAGACAAGGGTTTCTTCGATCTATAATTCCGCCGAGAAAAAAAAGAGATATTTGAGTTAACTACTCAAAAAAGTTCTTTTTTTTCATTAAAATCTGCCCATCGTAAAGTTATTACAACCAAATAAATAGAAAAACTAAACTCTTAGACTTCTAAAACAACTCTATTAAATTGTGAAACAATCCCAAATTAATTAAAAAAAAAGCTAAATGAAAAAACAGAAAAAAAAACTCCAACTACCGTGCAAGAAACTTAAAGTGCCCAAATGACAAATGACAAGCTAAATGACCCTTCAGGCCTAATCCAAATACAAGCATGGAGAACACATCTTGGGCTTTCCGAAAACATGTTATAATACATATTTGGAGTCCGTATGTGAAAGTTACGACCCAACAAAGTCAGCCCTTTTGTTTTGGATGCTCTAAGCGATCCAAATATGAGCTTGCCACCTGGTCCGCATCTTCTACTTGCTTTCCATTCTTGCAGTGGCTTGTCTCGTATCCACCAGCATTCTTCCCCGCGCCAGGTTGGTGTTGCCCAATAACAAGATCTTTGGTTGCTTGAGCAATCTCCACTATAGTTTGGCCAACGGCGCCCTGTATGCTGCTGCCAATCCTGTTGTTCTTGTTAATCGCCTTCAGGGGAGACTTGCTCGCTGAATTTCTTAGTGATGCACGTTTCTTCTGGCCCTTGACCTCCTGTTGCATGAACTTGTGATTCTTCTTTGTATTCTCTTCCTTAGAAACTCCTCTAATCATCCTCAATCAGGCAACATATATTCAATTTATATTTCAAGTACTACAAATGTAATAAACTAGTCCACATTTTCAATTTCAATTAGAAAGACAGAGTTTAATCCATCAATTTCAATATTGGCCTGTAGTGGCATTCCTTGCATTGAAGCCAACGATGTCGAAATAGAACATCTATTCAAGATATTAAAGAAAAATTTGCATTACAGGAAATTGCAGTTAAAAGAGCATCGTAAACTTCACAATGTGAATCCAACCCCTGCTAAAACAACTCCTAGACACACTATTTCTCTAACTGTAGCTCTCCTTCAGCTGCTTTTCGGGCCTCAAGCTCTCTCTCGGCCTCCTCTTTTTTCCAAGCTGTATACTCCTTCATACTCTCACCACTTTCCGTAGCAGTCTGTTTAGCAGCACCCAACGGCTTGCCTACAAGCTCTGCAGTCTTTTGACCAGCATACTCTGCTGCCCTTGCGGCTGCCTTGCTCCCCTCCACTGCTTTCTCAGCTGTGTAATGAGCAGCAGTCCATCCAGCTGCAGTGGCCTTGTCTTTCACATCCACAGCCACTTTATCTACATAATTAACAGCTTCTTTGCCACTTTCCACTGTCACATCTTTAGCTCTCACTTCCTTCTCTGCAACATACTCTGACGTTTGCTTGGCCCCTTCAAAAATGGTGTCTTTTGCTTGTGCTCCCTTCTCTGTTACATACTGGGTAAATTTCTTAGCCCCTTCAACTAGAGTGTCCTTCATCTGTGCTCCTTTCTCTGCAAGAAAATGGGTAGTTTTTTGAGTCTCTTCAACAACAGTGTCCTTTGCTTGTACTCCCGTCTCTGCTATGAACTGAGTAGTTTTTCTACCCCCTTCGGCTGCAGTGTCCTTTGCCTGTGCTCCCTTCTCTGCAGCATACTGGGTGGATTTTTGAGACCCTTCAACTACAGTGTCTTTTGCCTGTGCTCCCTTCTCTGCAAATTTCTGAGCTCCTTCAAGGACAGTACTCTTCGCTTGAGACGCCTTCTCTTCAATCTGTTGACATGATTTTTTAGCCCCTTCCCAAATAGAATCTTTGGTTTGTGAAGTCTTCTCCGCTGCAGTATCTTTGGCTCGAGAGCCCTTTTCTGCCAGATTACGGGAAGTTTTTTGAGCCCCTCCAAGAACAGTATCTTTTGCTTGTTCAACCTTATCCGCAACAGCGTCTTTGGCTCGTGCAGTTCTCTCTGCGACAATGTCTTTGGCATGTGTAGCCTTCTCCACAGCAATGTCTTTGGCTTGTGCAGCCTTCTCTGAGATAATGTCTTTTGCTTGTCCAGCCTTATCTCCAGAAGTTTCTTTCGCTCGTGCATCCTTCTCCGCAGCAGTGTTTTTGGCTTGCATAGCCTTCTCTTTGCAACCCACAACTTGGCTAGCCTTCTCTTTTTCTTTCTCATATCTTTCTTCAGGTGCTTTTAAAGCCTCCAATGAATTCTGTTGTGCCGTTCCTCTTAACTTCGTAATTTCATCTAGAGAAAGTTCTTGCTCATTATTTTGTTCACCATTCTTTTCTTTTCTACCACCTCTCTCATCTTCACCTTTCACTTCAAATTTCCCAACAGAATATCCCTCTCTTGCTTTCCTTTCTTGTTCTTCTTCCCTTCTTTCCCTTTCTTTATCACTAGAAACATTTGTCCTAGCTCTCACTTTATCAGCAAGGGACTCAAACTGCGCTTCCATTTTATTGCCACCTTCAGTACTCAAGCTTTCCATGACACCAACAAGGACAACCGACTCTTTTGGTTTCTCAATCAAAGACACAAAATGGTTAGCTATTTTTGGGACTCTCTCTCTCTCCACAGAAAACTCTTTCTCACTAGTAGTATTCTCTCTCCTTGCTTGCTCAGATGCCATAGTTGCTAGTGTTTCAAGAAAGTAACTAAGAAACTTGATCTCTCCGTGTTTTCTTTTGTGGGTTTTTATGTAATATTCTTGGTTTGCTGTTGGTATAGGAATGAAGAGCAAAGAGAAGATTGGCGTTAAAAAGAAGAAGGAATGGCCAATAGCGGCTTGAGGAAATGGAAGAGGTGTGCGTGCATGGAGTGGACATGTGTTGGTGCATAAGGCAACGTGTTGGAACAGTACAATGAAGAAGGTGACTCAGCTAGACAAATCATTGGTGCGTTGACACACGTAAGAGGATGTAGCTTAGGTTAGCCATTTCAGGGTGATGGATTCGTGTCTCTTTGCCATGTGTCTATGTAGGATTTAACAGAATAAAAAGCAGAGGCTAGCGATTAACACCTTTATTCTAAACTAAGCTAAATTTATTGTTGTTCCGTAGCACAATCTAAAAAGATCATAACAAAATAAAATAATTTAGGTTAATCCTAACAGATTTTAATAATTTTAAATTAATAAATATTTTATTAAATCTAAAATTTTGATTAGCGTATCAGTAACTTCTAAGACATCAATTCAACATTTTTTTTTTTGCTTTAAAGCTGTAAACTCCAAGTCTTTGTCTCAAGAATTTATATTTAATTTTAGAAAATGACTTAATCAGGATATCAGCATTTTAATTTTTTGTTTTAGAAAATGACTTAATCAGGATATAGCATTTTAATTTTTTGTTTTGTAGTAAATCAGCTATATTTCACCTTCTTTTTGTACTTCTTTTAAGAAATAGAATTTTAATTGGAAATATTTCATTTTGCCATGAAACACAAGATTTTTTGTAATTGAAATTATAGCTTGGTTGTTTACAAGAATTTGTGTTTTTTTTTTGCTCAATCTGTAGATCAGCCATCAATTTTATAATCCAAATGGCTTGATTAACGGTAGCAGTACCAGCTACATAGTCTACTTGTACTGTGAATTGAGCTATGACTTCTTACTTCTTAGAGCTCCGTGAAAAAATAGCATAATCAAAGCTATACAAAAACCTGAAATGCTCATCATTTCATCAACACAACTGAGCAATCACTATCAGAATAACCATGGAGCGTGAAGTTTTTAACTTGACAAAACATCAATCCATAGTCAATTGTTCCCTTAATATATTTGATAATTCTTTTTGCTACTTGAAAATGAATTTCAATTGCACAATGCATATACCTTGAAAGTACACTTGTAGCATTCATAATATCTAGTCTTGTTGTAAATAAGTTATATTAAGAACCCTATTAAGGTTCTGTAGAGCTTTTCATCAATCTTCGCAGCTCCTTTGTAAAATTTCTTATTTAGATTCATTAGTGTTATTGTTAGGCTGCTCTCTTTTATGTTGAACTTCTTTAGAATCTCTTTAGCATATTTTTGTTGACATATAAAGATTTCATTCTGTTTTTTTTTAACTTCCATGCCGAGGAAGAATGTCATCTTTCCCAGGTTAGTCATCTCAAAAACATCCTTCATTCCTCTTTTGAACACATCAACTGCTTCATGTTATTTCTTGTCACAAGTAAGTCATCCATATAAAAAGAAACCACAATCAATTCATTATTGACTTTTTTAAGATAAATTGTAAATTCATTTAGACTTTTTGTAAAGCTAAAGTCTAAAAAATATGCATCAATCATGTTGTACCAAGCCCTTAGTACTTGCTTTAAACCATAAGGAGCCTTTTTTAGTAAATATACTTTTTTCTCTTCTCTTTAAACGACAAAACATTCAAGTTACTTTACAAATATTTCCTCCTCCAACTATACAATTAAGAAAGCAGATTTGGCATTCATTTGGTGTATAATCCAACCATTTTGAGCAGCAAGATCAAGTAGCATTCTTATGCTATCAAGCCTAGCAACCAAAGTAAAAGTTTTAGAGAAATCCACCCCAAACATCTGAGCATATCCTTTGACAACAAGCCTTGCTTTGTATTTGTTTATCGAATTGTCAGCATTGAACTTGGTTGTATAAACCCATTTGACTCCTACGGCCTTTTTATATACAGATCTGTTCACTAGCATCTAAGACTGATTTTTCTCAATCAAAAGCTTATCCTTCATTACAGCCATGTTGATCTACAATGGCTTCTTCATATCTTGTAGGCTCAATCATTACAACATTATAACTTTAATAGATATTAGAGAGTGATATGGTTTTTGCAACAAATTCATCATCAATGTTAGCATTCTCCTCTTGGAATTTAAACTTCTTATCATTCTCCCAACTCTAGCTTTCTGATTTAAAGAATTAGATATCCCTGCTAATAATTACTTTGTTATCTTGTAAAAGATAAATCTTATAGGCTTTTGAAACTAAGTTGTAGCCTACAAAGATCTCAAATTCTTTCCTTTTTACAAGTTTGTCTTTTTTGACCTGTGGAATATAAGAGAAACAAAGACAACCAAAAATTTTTAAATTATACAACTTTTTTTTATAGCCATACCATGCTTTAAATGAAGTCTTTTGTTGCAAAGTTTTTGTTGGCAATCTGTTTAATAGGAAAACTGTTGCATTTATAGCCTTAGACCATAAATTCTTTAGCAGCCCTTTGTCATGTAATAAACACCTTGTCATCTCTGAGTGTTTTGTTTTTCCTCTCAACCACTCCATTTTGTTGAGGGGTATGGGGGCTATCAACTAGTGCTCAATGCCTTTTTTTTCACAGAACTTGTTGAATTTCTCCAAGGTATCCTCTGTTCTATTATCTGATCTAATCACTTGTATTTTGTTTGTACTTTTTTTTCTACTGAAGCTTTAAACTTCCAAAAGATATCAATAACTTCAGACTTATACTTCATGAAATAAATCGAACACATTCCTGTATGATCATTAATGAAAGCAATGTAATGGCATTCAATGATGGTGTTTTCAGAGGAGCTCCCACATTAGTATACACGGACTATAGTTTTTGTGCAGCTCTCTAGGTTTTATTTTATGGAAAACGAAGTCTTATCTACTTCTTATACTGGCAGGCTACATATGAAGAAAGTTCTTTTTCTAAATCAAGTTAGTCTTTCACAAGATTGTTCTTCTTTATAAAAAGTAGAGCTGTATGATGAAAATGCCCCAATCTTATATGCCAAAGCATTGCACCACTATTTTTGTTATATGTTGTAGCTTGCTCTTCTTCCATAAAATTCAAGGCAAAGCTTTTACTCTCCGTCTAAAATTTTAAACACTTCTCTGTTTTGTGTATAAGTAATCAAGCAAAACTTGTCTTCAAATAACGTCTTATATCCTTTCTCTAGAAATTGACCAATAATCAAAATATTTTGATTAATTTTAGAAACATATAAGATATCATAAATTAATTTTAAACCTGTGTTGCCTATGATTGTCATTGGTCCTTTACCCTTTATTACTAGAGATACTCTATTTCCAATTCTTACTTTAGAAATGGCAATTTTGTCAAGCTTTTTGAAAAGCTCTTAATCATAAGTCATATTGCTTTTACAATCATTGTATATAAGCCAGTTCTCTTTCACGCTACTGGTAACAAAGCATGATGCCATAAACAATTCCTCTTTTTCAGGTTGTTCAACAACAATCTTAACATCCTTTTATTGTTGTTGTTGTTATTAAGATTTGCATACACTTTCAATATGTCCTAACTGATCACACTTGTGACATTTTATTTTCAGCCTCCACCAGCATATACTCTGTGGATGATAAGATTTTTTATAGTAAGGACATGATGGAAATATTATGTTATTGTTGTTATTTTTGTTTCTTTGTTATATGATTTAGCAAAAAAAAACCATTTTCCATAAAACTTGCTTGTCTCATAAGTCTTCTTTGTTCTTAAACCTTGAGTGCATTTAGTAGTTCTGCTAAAGTGATGCTTAATACAGCTTTGAGTTTTCTATTGATGATGTTGTAGCTTTAAATTTTTCAAGAACTGTTATAAGAATTTTTTAAACAATTTTAGAATCAGAAAAATCAATACCAAGAAGCCTTACTTTGTTTACAATGTCAAGAAGTTTGTTAGAGTAATCCTTGATGGTTTCTGATTCCTTCACTCGTTTATTTTTTGCATTTCATATTTTTTTATTAGATTTAGAACTTGCATGCCTTTCACTCGTTCATGTTCTTCATACTCCTTTTTCAAGAAGTTTTAAATTTTATTTGTTGTTTTCAGTGTCATAATTCTAGTGAAGATTAAAGATGAAATAGCTGCAAATAAGCTAGCTTTTGCCTTTGATTTCCTTTGCCTACTCTCCTTGTGATTTTTTATTTGAGCTATAGTTAGATTGTCAAATAAAGAAGGAACCTCATATGTATTTTCAATGACTTCCCACTCATCATTAGCATCAAGGTAAGCTTCCATTAAAACATCCCATACTTGATAATTTATATACCATCACATTCAAAGAGGCTTCTGAACTTATTTTACATTGGTTAGGTTTTTTAGGAAAAATGATAAGTGTTTAAGCTTTCTCAACCTCATAGGTCTCTCAAGAAAAGAATAGGCTCTGATATCAATTTGTAAAATTTTCACAGAATAAAATGTAGGGGCTAGCAATTAACACATTTATTCTAAAACTTCACAACTTTATTGATCACTAGAGGTCTTATTTAAGCAACTCAAAAAAAAAATGCAAGTAACAAGCAGCTAAATCTAATGTTATTACATAGTAGAATCTAAGAATATTAAGCGGTTAAATCTAATGTTGTTACATAACAGAATCTAAGAATATCATAACAAAATAATGAAGATTTATGTCAATCCTAACAGATTTTGATAATTTAAAATCAACAAGTGTTTTATTAAATCTAAAATTTTTACCCCCTCCATATCAGCAGGCTCCAAATCAATAGCCTTCGAGGCAGTAATTCGAAAGTCTCTCTTCTTCTTCTTTCCAAAGACTTTCAAGACTCACTTTACTTTTCTAAGCTTTAGATCAGTTCTCTCTCTCTCTCTCTCTCTCTCTCTCTCTCTCTCTCTCTCTCTCTCTCTCTCTCTCTCTCTCTCTCTCTCTCTCTCTCTCTCTCTCTCTCTCTCTCTCTCTCTCTCTCTCTCTCTCTCTCTCTCTCTCTCTCTCTCTCTCTCTCTCTCTCTCTCTCTCTCTCTTCTTCTTTTTTTTCTTCTTCTTAGATTAGTTTAGTGTATTAAGTACTTTTTCTATGCATTCTTAAATTTGTTTTTATATATTATTTTCTATTTAAATGGAAATATTTTCAAAGTATAAATCTAAGACTTCAAGTAATAAGAAAGTGTTGATTACAAACAATTAGCTAGCTAATTTAATTTTTTTTTTATAAGAGATTTCAAATTTAAGCCTCTCTTCTTGATTTTGGCTAAAAGAGACAATTGATTTTGTGATGTTATTATTGAGAATATTTTGCTTAAGGTTATTTTAAAAAAAAATATATTTATTTTTGATATATACATATTAAAACCATCTAAAATATTCTATAAAAATATTAATATAATATTTTTAGGTAAAAATAATTTAAAAAATATATAAAGAAAAACCCTCACTAATAGCAATCATAGGATAAGTTATGGAATACAATTCATTTATATGAAGTATATTAATACTTATTACGT